ATTGCTACCATCAGTTTTTTATTTATCATTATTTCCACCATTAATATTCTTCCCTCTTCATCTGCATAGATTTGTTTGGAGTTCATTGTCTCTTTAATATATAAAGCTATTCCTTTTCTCTTTTGTTGTGCTAGTGTGAAGTGGAGTTTCCGATTTTTGGTTGTTCCAACAGTTTATAGTGTTGTCTCTTAATATGTGTTTCTTGGAGACAAATTATATCCATTTTTAATTTTTGCAGTTGTGTAATTTTTATTTATTTATTTTTTTGTAGGGGAGTTCAATCCATTTATATTCATTGAGAGAATTCCATTTTCCTTCTCCATCTCCTTCAGTTATATTTAGGTTTTATTCTCCTAGTTGTTCTTATTTGTCTCTGTTCTCTTGCTTTTGCCCCTTTTTCTATGTTTGTGTTTTCTGTTTCTTCTTCTTCCCTTGGTTTGGCTGCTCCTTCTGTTGCTATCTCTTCCTGTTTTTTGCTTCTCTCTCTGCACGAAATTCCAGGCTTTCCCCTTCCCAAAAAGCTCTGTAACTCTCATAGAACTCCATTGCCTTGAGTATAGAGTCCAATCTGTATCTTTTCATGTCCAAATTAATTAAAATCTCTTCCGGAATCAGCCATCTAAAATTCACTCATTTTTCAATTAATTTTCTGATCAGGAATAATAGATTGTTAACATAGGATTTTGAAGTTTAATTCTGCTATTGCTTTACTGTAAACTACTTTGCTTTTATAAATACTATATAAATGATAGAACAAATAAGTTGCAAATAGATATAGAAGTTTATAAACTTCGGGCCTGTTTTGCAAGGAAGGAAACTAACATTGTTGTAATATATTTATCAGTGTTCAACTGGAGGGATAATACATGTATATGTGGGTGAAGGTTCGTTCTCCGAGCTTGAGGTTGGTTTCCGAACATTTCATTACCAGGCTAGGTAACATCTTCAGCAGTGTTTAGTGGATGTCTGTGTCGGTGTTCTACTTATATATGGGGGGGAGTGATCATACAATATTGGAATTCAACATTATGCAAGCACAAGCAATAGAACAGTCAAACTGAGTCTTGGACTTTAAGAGAGGTAATTTCAATAAACTTAGAGAGAGCTTGTGAAGGATTCCATGGATGAGAATCCTCAAGGGGAAAACAACTCAAGAAGCTTGGGAAATTTTGAAAAGTGAGATTATAAAAGCCCAGTCTAGCACAATACCAATGAAAAATAACAGCTCTCCAAAGAAACCAGCATAGCTGCATAAAGAACTCTCTGATAAATGGAAAGACAAAAAAGCCAAATATAAAAAGTGGAAAGAGGGGCACATAACTCAGGCAGAATATCAGCAAATAGCCTGAGCCTGCAAAAATGAAGAAGGCTAAGGCTCAAAATGAATTAAGGCTTGCGAACAAAAGTAAAAAATAACAAAAAAAGCTTCTTTCAACATGTAAAAAACAAGAAAAAAGTTAAGGAAATGATTGGTCCATTAGTGTGGGAAAGTGGCAAGAAGGTGACAAGCAACAGGGAGAAAGCAGAACTACTTAACTCGTTTTTTGCATCCGTCTTTACACAAAGGGAAAAAACAGTCCAACCTATCAAAAATAGTATCGTAAAAATAGATTAGAAACACAAGTTAAGATAGGCAAGAAAATGGTAAGTGAGCACCTGTCCACCCTAGATGAGTTCAAATCACCAGGACCAGATGGACTACACCCCAAGGTTCTGAAGGAACTGGCAGATGTGATCTCAGAACCATTGAACTGTTTGGGGGAGCCTATTGTATTACAAGAGACTATAGATAAAGACTACAAGGATTTTTTGAAATGAACCTAAAAGACATATTGTAATATTGACTATAAGATTGAAGGTTTTGTGTAAGATTGATAACTGGGGAATATATTAGAACTGAGAAGGTCTGAAGGGTGGGAATAAAAATGAGTGTTCCTAATCTAAGGCTTGTGACCAAAGTCAAAAATAACAAAAAAAGCTTCTTTCAACATGTAAAGAACAAGAAAAAATGAAGGAAACGATTGGTCCATTAGTGGGTGAAAGTAGCAAGAAGGTGACAAGCAACAGGGAGAAAGCAGAACTATTTAACTCGTTTTTCACATCTGTCTTTACACAAAGGGAAAAAGCAGACCAACCTATCAAAAATAGTGCCATAAAAAACAGAATAGAAACACAAGTTAAGATAGGCAAGAAAATGGTAAGTGAACACCTGTCCAGCCTAGACGAGTTCAAATCACCAGGACCAGATGGACTACACCCCAAGGTTCTCAAGGAACTGGCAGATGTGATCTCAGAACCACTGAACTATATCTTTCAAAGATCCTGGAGCACTGGGGAACTACCAGAGGTCTGGAAAGAGCTGATGTAGTTCCCATCTTCAAAAAAGAAAAAAAATGGATCCAGGAAACTACAGACCTATCAGCCTGACCTCAATACTTGGGAAGATTCTGGAAAAGATAATCAAGCAACGAATCAGTGAACACCTAGAGGCAAACAAAGTTATTACCAAAAGCCAACATGGGTTTGTCAAAAACATATCATGCCAGACAAATCTTATTGCATTCTTTGACCAAGTGACAAAATTAGTGGACCAGAGGAATGCTGTGGATATCATTTACTTGGACTTCAGTAAGGCATTTGATAAAGTAGACCACAACCTGTTACTTGATGTGATAGAAAAACGTGGGTTAGATAGCATCACTACCAGATGGATTTGTAGCTGGCTGACTGGCCGTACTCAGTGTGTGGTCCTCAATGGAACTGCATCTACATGGAGGGAAGTGTGTAATGAGGTGCCCCAGGGCTCTATTCTGGGCCCAGTGCTCTTCAACATCTTCATCAATGATTTGGATGAAGGGATAGACGGGGAACTCATCAAATTTGCAGACAATATCAAGCTGGGAGGAATAACCAACACTACAGAAGATAGGCTTAAGATACAGAAGGATCTTGACAGACTTGAACATTGGGCGCTATCTAACAAAATGAAATTCAATGGTGAAAAAAGTAAGGTTTTACATTTAGGCAAGAAAAACCAAATGCACAAGTATAGTATAGGGGGTATCTTGCTCAATAGTAGTAACTGTGAGAGGGATCTCGGAGTCCCAGTGGACAATCACTTAAATATGAGCCAGCAGTGTGCTGCAGCTGCCAAAAAAGCCAACACAGTGCTAGGCTGCATTAACAGAGGGATAGAATCAAGATCACGTGAAGTGTTAATACCACTTTACAATGCCTTGGTAAGGCCACACTTGGAATACTGCATCCAGTTTTGGTCACCATGATGTAAAAAAGATGTCGAGACTCTAGAAAGAAGCAACAACAATGATTAGGGGACTGGAGGCTAAAACATATAAGGAACAGGTGCTGGCATTGGGTATGTCTAGTTTAATGAAGAGAAGGACAAGGAGTGACATGACAACAGTGTTCCAATATCTCAGGGGTTGCCACAAGGAAGAGGGAGTCAAGCTATTCTCCAAAGCACCTGAAGGCAAGACAAGAAGCAACGGATGAAAACTAACCAAAGAGAGAAGCAACCTAGAACTAAGGAGAAATTTCCTGACAGTTAGAACAATTAATCAGTGGAACAACCTGCCTCCAGAAGTTGTGAATGCTCCAGAACTGGAAGTTTTAAAGAAGAGACTGGACAGCCATTTGTCTGAAAAGGTATAGGGTTTCCTGCCTGAGCAGCGGGTTGGGCTAGATGATCTCCAAAGTCCCTTCCAACATCATCATCATCATCATTATTCCTGATTAATGTATCCATATGTATTCTTTAATATATGCCTGTCAGAAGCAACACCTCAAGGAAAAGAGAAGAAATGAGAAGAAGAAAAAAGAAATACTGAAGAGGACTAGGATAAAAAAATACATTAACCCAATTAATAATTGCTAACTAAAATTAAGTTCTTTGACCTAGGATCCACTTATTTACTTGCTTCATCCTGACCCAGGTCTTTGGTGAGGAGACTAAGTCCCTTCAGTTTTTTGTGCTTATTGTCTTTTATCTTTATTTTTTATCTTTTGTTGATTTTATTGTAATTTTTAGTTGTGAGCTCCTCAGAGTCACTGAAATTGACTGGCATACAACTTTAATAAATCTTTCTTTTACACATAAATCACTCTTGCACCACAAATATAAGTATACACATATACATGCAGAAACTCCATTCAGCAGATACAAAAAAATATGGAAAGTAACAGGATGAGATAAGTTAAGAGTGGGAGATAACTGTATTGTGTACATAAAAAAATGGGTAATAAGATGAAGTGATGGGAAAAATAACATGATAGGGAAAGACAGGCATTACAGAAAGAGTAAATTGCCAGGCAAACAGCCTCCTCCCTCTCAAGCAGCAGCTAATCTTCAGTTTGATCTTTGAGCAACTAATTATAATTTTAATACATTCTGTGTAATTCAGACAATATATTATATCTAAACAATAAAACCTGTTATACTTTCCTATAATTTGATTAATATCTTTATATTATGAAAAAATAAAGAACACTGCACATTATTCACAAAGCCTAGAATCTAGAATATCAATTTAGCCAAAGTTTTAAAGTAGAAATCGAGGTTTTTGAATCAAAACTCTCAAAAGCATCTTGGGTTTAAAAATAATTAGTTTAACAGAAAATAATATCATTTAAATATAACACTTTTGCTGTAATTCTCTACAGCAGAATTGATTCACTGAGATTAAGGCAAAATGATAGTTTTCGCAATGAAAATTAGCTTCTCTTTTCTTTACAATTGAGCAAATTTCTCTTTTTCTGCAGCAAACAATAATTTGCCAATCTGAATTAAACTGTAATCCATTACAACAAGAAACTATGTAAAAACCATGGATAAGCATTTTAAATGAAGGACCAAACTATAGGTAAAGGAAAGGGAAGAAACAGATTCTCATTACAAGCCAGGGCAGGCATATGAAACCAAACCACGGTCTGAGAAAACCAAAATACAGATAATAAAGCACAACATAGATTGTTTTACTTACCTTGTGTCTACACTTAAGCACAACACCATAGGCTCCTAAAGCCCCCCCCAAAAGAAAATCAAATTTCAATATTCATATGTGCATTGTAGAAAGTATTATTTATATATTTAAAAATGCAAGATCAAATAATAATGATGATGATGATAATAATGATAACAACAACAACAACAACAGATAGATAACCTTTATTATCTTTTTTTCCTGTGGGCACAATGGCACACATTAAAAATGAAATTTAGTTGCTTCCTTTCAAAGTATACACATATATAACACATTTAAAACATACTATATACAACATATGTATAGACCTACACCCTTACATATAAGTAACATATAAATATTATTCACTGTCCATCTTGAATACATAACGGAAGGAGGAAGCTTTAAGAATAATAATAGCAGCAAAAATTATTGGGAACACCAAATTGACAAAGTTCTTGAAAATGAACAGGTCAAGATCCTTTGGGACTTTTGAATCCAAATAGACAGACGTCTGGCCAACAACACGCCTGAAATCACTATTATAGAAAAGAAAAAAATCTGGTTCATTGATATTGCAATACCAGGTGATGCACAAATTGAAGAGAAACAACTAGAAAAAATAATGAAATACCAAGATCTGCAAATTGAGTGATTGTGGAGGAAGAAATCAATGTTTGTACCAATAGTAATAAGAGCCCTTGGAGCAATACCCAAAGGGTTGCCTAGATACATGGAGTTACTTTAACAGTTCTTGGTTAGGACTTGAAGTGTTAAGTTTTTACCAATCCCAGACTGTGAATCGAACTGAAGACTAAATCTTAAATAATAATAATAAAAATGAATACTGAAATAATGTAATAAAAACATAAACAGAATGCTGGCAAGGAAAAACATTACATGGTCAATTTCCTCAAAAGACAGGGGAAAGCGATACAGATAAAACCTGGCAATGGTTTACAAATGGAATATTTAAAAAAGAAAGTGAAAGGTTTGATTTTGGCTGCTCAAGAGCAAACTATTCAAATTAATGCAATCAAAGCCAGAACTAAACAATCATCAAATGATTCAAATAAGTTCTCAAAAGGATTCACTGAAACACCTATAAAAATACCATATGCCATTAATGAAAAGTTGGTGGGAACATATAGTTGAAAAAGTAGTAAAAAATGAGCAAATTGAAATATTGTGGGATTTCTGAATAAAAACTGATAAAAGTCGTAGTTCAGATTTAACTTGGATGAAAAGTGTGTAGATAATCGATGTGGTTAATATCAGGGGATAATAGAATAGAAGACAAAGCATTGGAGAAGATTACTGTATCAAGATCTGAAAATTGAAGTTAAAAGATTATGGCATAAATTGATCCCAGTGTTTATTGGCACAGTTGGTGAAAATCTTGGATGACACTTAGAAAATCTGTGCATTAATAAAATTTCCATCTGCCAATTACAAAAGTCCACAGTGTTTGGATTCCCAAGTATACTATAGTGATATATTACTATATCCTACGTTCTTGGGAAGAATGTAATGATAGAAAGGCCACACCATCTAAAGAACTGGCATTTATGATTTCATGTTGTTATGTGTATAACAATAATACTAATTGCAGAGGTTATTATTTGGGCTACGTATTGCAACATTTTATTCTTAGGCTCAAGTGAAAATTGGCTAATAGGTTTTAAGAAGCTTGACATTCTTCCCTCATTATATTTGATTAAACATAAATTAACTGAATGTGTATGTGTTTGAATATTTTTAGTATAAAATAAATTTTATTAAAAGGACATATATATTGGGTATATAGTGCATTCAGAAAGTATCCAGACCTCCTTCACTTTTGTCAATTTTATTATGCTGCATACCATTCTACAGTTAATAATAATAATAGAATAGAGCCCCCCGCTTAAGCAGGAGAACCTATACCATCTCAGAAAGTGACTGTCTAGCCCAGGGGTGTCAAACTGCCGGCCCACGGGCCGGATGCATCATAGCGAAACCGCGCCCACCCCATTACCAGCAATGACAAAAAGGTCACGATATGTCGCAACACGTCACGTGACGTTGCGAGTTTGACAACCCTGCTCTAGCCTCTTCTTAAAAATCTCCAAGATTTCTGGAGGCAAGCTGTTCCACTGGTTAATTGTCTTCACTGTCAGGAAGTTTCTCCTTAATTCTAGGTTGCTTAATTCTAGTTGTTGAAATTTATTTTTTTCTCATTAATCTACTCTCAGTGCCCCATAATGACTAAGTGAAAACAGAATTTTAGAAATGTCTGTAAATTTATTAAAAAGAAAAAAACTGACATGTCACATTGGCATAAGTATTCAGACCCTTCACTCAGTACTTTGTTGAAGTACCTTTGACAGCAATTTCAGCCTTGAGCCTTTTGGGGTATGACGCAACAAGCTTTGCACACCTGGATTGGAGGATTTTCTGCCATTCTTCCCTGCAAATCCTCTCAAGCTCAACAAGGTTGAATGGTGACCATTGGTGGACAGCCATTTTCAGGTCCTTCCAGAGATGTTCAATAGGATTCAAGTCAAGGATCTGGCTGGGCCACCCTAGGACATTCACAGAGTTGTCCCTAAGCCACTCCTGTGTTGTCTTGGCTGTGTGCTTAGAATCCTTGTCATGTTGGAAAGTGAACTCTGAGGTCCTGAGTGTTGTGGAACAGGTTTTCATTGAGGATATCCCTGTATTTTGTTCCATTCAGCTTTCCCTCAACCCTGACCAGTCTCCCAGTTCCTGCTGCTGAAAAACACCCCCACAGCATGATGCTGCCACCACCATGCTTCACTGTTGGGATGATATTGGGCAGGTGATGAGTGGTGCCTGGTTTTCTCCAGACATAAGATTTAGAATTGAGACCAAACAGTTCAATCTTGGTTTCATCAGACCAGAGAATCTTGTTCCTCACAGTCTTCAGGTGCTTTTTTGCAAACTCCAAGTGTACTTTCATGTGTTTTGCACTGAGGCTAGGCTTCCGTCAAGCCAATCTACCATAAAGCTTAGATCGGTGAAATGCAGTAATGGTTGTTCTTCTGGAACTCTGTCCCATCTCCACACAGGTTCTCTAGAGCTCATTCATAGTGACTATCGGATTCTTGATCACTTCTGTTACTAAGACCCTTCTCCCGATTGCTCAGTTTGACCGGGCGACCAGCTCTTGGAAGAATCCAGATTATGCCACACTTTTTCCATTTGAGAATTATGGAGGCCACTGTGCTCTTAGGAACTTTCAGTGCAGCAGAAATTTTATTGTAGTCTTCCCCAGATGTGTGCCTTGCAAAAATCCTGTCTCTGAGCTCTGCAGGAAGTTTATTTGACCTCATGGCTTTTGCTCTGCTACAATATGCATTGTCAGCTGTGTGGCCTTCTATAGAGACATACCATGTCCAATCAATTTAATTTACCACAAGTGGCCTTCAATCAAGGTGTAGAAACATGTCAGTAACCATCAAAAGAAATGGGAGGCACTTGTGCTAAATTTCAATTTACTTATGCCAATGTGATATTTTATTTTTTTCTTTTTAATAAATTTACAGATATTTCTAAAATTCTGTTTTCACTTTGTCATTATGGGGTACTGAGTGTAGATTAATGAGAAAAAAATGAATTTCAACAACTGTAAAATCAGGTTGCAGCATAACAAAATTGACAAAAATGAAGAGGATCTGAATACTTTCTGAATGCACTATATGTGCAAGAAAACAATTTCAGAGACAAATGCAGGTATTTAAGCATTATCTTACTTAATTTACAACACCAATTCTGAATGATTGTAGCATAAAGCAGCTGATACTGAATTCCAGAAGTTCCATTTTAAGGAGTATTAGTGAGCAAGAATCCTTTCATCATTAGAAAACTAAACAGCCCAATGGTAATTTTTACACTAAAACATTTCTAAATATACTCAGGGATAAATAGCAAGATATCCTAAGTGGTAAGATAAATGTAATAGAATTAAAAATTTTCAACAGTATATCTACCGCTTAGTTATCGACACATATATAGTCATGACTCATCAAAAACAGTATTCGTATTAAGAACCAACATTACTTTTTAAAAAATGTGTGTTTGCAGAGGCATGGAGACAAGAAAATCTTCTGTGAGAGTTTTGAAACTCAGCATTATAATACAGCTCCAAGCTCAGTTGGACAAGCAATCAAGATTTCTTCTTGATTTTGAATATCTCACATATAAAAGGGTGTGCCCCGTCTTTCCCAGGCTTCAAAGGAAGAATAAAGCTCTCATAAGATTAGAAAACTGTAACATAAAGAATTAAAGCCTTTATGATAGAAAAATTGCTATTCTATTCATTTTATTTTGTCCTACTATAATATCAGTCATTTAGATTTTCCATTTTGGTTATATATCAAGAATAAATTTGGTCAAACAGCAGAAAAATTGAGTGTACACTTCATGCATCAGTAGTTCTATCATGCCATGATCAGTGATTAGAAAAATTGTATGTTTCTAGCCATGGCAAAACAAAAACTGCATTCTGTAATCAACGTCTCACCTCCTTCTTTCTAGTTATGCTCATATCTCTTCTCAAACCCCAATTAAATTTATTCATGAATATATACTTACCTTCACCTACAACCCCAAGGATCTCAAATTTATTCATCACATTACCAATATTAGGAATCTTCATGAAGACAAATTCCTCATGGAACATGAATTGTACAACATGGCCAGAGAAGACCAAAATATTGGCAGAAGTCAAGTCTGTAATGGTTGGTAGGCTTTAGCACATATATGTTCTAAGTTTGTATTTCCTGCAAAGAAAATAAACATATAATTGGCATGAGCTAAAGTAATTTCACAAGATTTGTACCGAATGTACAATAGTACCTACATTCAATACATTTGATTAATGGTTATACTATAATGAACAAGCCATCAAAGACTATAATAACCATCAAGGCCTGATACAGTTTACACCAGGGTTTTAAACATATAATGCATAAACCAGAAAGACAACATTCTTTCATGTATTCCATCTTCAAAAAAAGGAAAAAAAATAGACTGAGGAAACAGACCAATCAGCCCAACATCAATACCTGTAGCCAAAAAAGCTAATACAGTCCTCGGTTGTATAAACAGAGGCATAGAATCAAAATCATGTGAAGTATTAGTACTGCTTTATAAATCCTTAGTAAGACCACACCTGGAATACTGCATCCAGTTTTGGTCACCACATTACAAAAAAGATGTTAAAACTTTGGAAAAAGTGTAAAGAAGGGCAACTAGGATTGGTTGCAAGAATCGGGTATGGCCAGTCTAGATAAAAGAAAGACTAGGGGTGACATGACAGCAGCATTCCAGTATTTGAGGGGCTGCTATAAAGAAGAAGGGGTCAACTTATTTTCCAAAGCACCAGAACGTAAGACAAGAAACAATGGATGGAAACTAATCAAGGAGAAAAGCAACTTCAAATTAAGGAGAAACTTCCTAACAGTGAGGACAATTAACCTATGGAACAGCTTGCCTTCAGAAGTTGTAGGTGCTTCATCACTGGAGATTTTTAAGAAAAGACTGGACAGCCATCTGTCTGAAATGATATAGGGCAGTGTTTCTCAACCTTGACAATTTTAAGGCATGTGGACTTCAACTCCCAGAATTTCACAGCCAGCAATGCTGGCTGTGGAATTCTGGGAGTTGAAGTCCCCATGTCTTAAAGTTGTCAAGGTTGAGAAACACTGATATAGGGTCTCCTGCTTGAGCAGGGAGTTGGACTAGAAGACCTCCGAAGTCCCTTCTAGCTCTATTCTGATTGAAAGCTGAAAACAACTCCTTTAAGAATTATCATACAGAATATATTTTTCTGGTTTAATGCTACCTTGTATTTAATAGCAGCTTGCTTATTAGAACAGGGAGATGAAATCCAAACTGGGGTACAATTTTTTTTCTTGTATTAACTCATTGCTCTTTAAAAAAATTATCAGAACACATTTTACTGTATTTCTTCCTAAATTATAGAGATAGTTTCTAGGTTGCATTTATAGGCAATAAATGAATATCTGTATTACAGGGAAGTTGTATATGATACACAAATTTACTTAACAACTATGATTCAATGCATATAAATAAACTGTAACAAATGAAGCCCCCTGCCCCATTATTTCCAGGCAAGAAAATCACATTCAAGAAAATAATTACCATAAATTTAGAGTTTAAATCAAGAGGTCTTCAAATCACAATTCAGCATTTTTGAAATGACAAGTAAGATCTTTAATGTCTATGTCCTTAGATAATATACTGTATACATGCACCAATGTAATGTTTGCCACATAAGGCAGTAGCATATATATAAACAATAAACTAGACCCAAAGTGTTATGCTCGTCTTTCAATCCATAAATACTGTAATGTTTTAAACTGTTATCCATCTTGTAGGGTAGATCCTACAGTATAATAGGTAATTATTTTTTTCATTATTAGTTAGCCTCATTTATTCATTACCTTGGAATAATTATTCCATAACAAATGTTTAGTGCATCATCTGAGTGAGAAATAATGTTGTGAGAAGAATGGGCCAATGTTTTATACATGCTGCTAAATGCAAATTCAGCAGATGAAAATTCTATTAATGGTTTCACCCAAAAGAAAAATATTCCAAAAATCAAAGACTGAATTAATATTGGAATCTTAGTAGACAAAAATGTTGATGAAATGGCTAGTTATATGTTAATAATCAAATGTGAGCAATTTGAAGGGAAGTATCAGCAGTGGAAGAGACTAGGAGATTTGATACATTACTGGAAGAGTAGACAGAAAAGAAAGAGAAGTCTTAGGAAATAAAAAGTTTAAATCATTGGTGACATTAGGAAGTCATTATAAAAGTGAATAATTTAGAAAAAGATGAAGCTACTTCAGAGATCTGAAAAAACATAATAGATGAATTTTTACTAAGATAGTTGTTAGTAGGGTTGTACTTGCATTAAAATTATTCAAAATTGTGTTTTACAGCACGGGGTCCCCAACCTATGGGCCACGGTCCACTATCGGGTCATAGCCTACTGGCCACTGGGCCGCAGGACAGGCTGGCCAGTGCGCGTACATGTGTGTGCACACTCAGCCCCACTTGTGCTAGCGCCCATGGACCTGTTTGCGCATGCGTGCAGGGCTAGCAGCGGCGGCTTGTGCCTGCGCAAACAGGGCTGCTAGTGCACACGCAAGTTCCACGGGCTGTTTGTGCCTGCGCGCGGGGCTAGCAACGATGGTTAGTGCCTGTGCACCTGCGCAAACGGGGCCACTAGTGCTGAGTGGGTTTTGTGACCCAATTACACATCTGTGCGGGGCTAGCAACGATGGTTAGTGCCTGCGCACCTGCGCAAACGGGGCCACTAGCGCTGAATGGGTTTTGCGACCCAATTACACATCCGTGCGGGGCTAGCAGTGGTGGCTAGCGCCTGTGCACAAGCGTGAATGGGGCCGCTATTGCTGTGCAGGCTGTGTGGCCCGTTTGTGCATGCATGTGGGGCTAGCAGCAGCGGTTAACGCCTGCGCGCCTACACAGAGCCACTAGCGCTGTGGGGGTGCACATGGCCCTGTTGCCACGTGCGCATGCGTGCACAAATTTCCCAGGTGCTTCCTTTCCCTCCAGACCACCAGTATGAAAAGGTTGGTGACCTCTGTTTTAGAGTACTCGCAAGAACATAATCTCTTTCAAACAGCTATTTTCTTTTTAGGCTTCCATGAATATCTGAAAATTTCAGCAAGAGCAAATCCTGGCCTGTGCTTCCAATTCATCTTTCTGAGGAACATGACTATTGTTTTTAGCATTAAATAAACAAGAAGCAAAACTATTATTTCATGTTATTTTTCCCTGTGATTTATTTTGTTCCAAGTAAACATGTAAAGTTAGTTTTTACTGACTCTTTTGAATTCTGTATTTATTTTTATGCCTACATAGTATCTATTAGTTTAGTTACAGAGTTAAAATGGCTAAATATGAATAACTTTTGTAAAGACAAAAGTGCAGTTTCAATTGGAAAACATCATGCATGACCATGAAATGGTAACAAAGAATTAAACAGATCATTCTACTGCCATCTAACAATCATCCAGATTTCTGAAGTTCAGAAATGGTCATCATTATCATTTTTCTAGCGTTATTCCCACAGGTGCAGAGTCTGCTTTTCAGATCGACAAACGCCATTTTGATTATATATACGTGTGTGTGTGTATGTGTGTGATGTTAATGTAAAAAAAAATATACAGATGTATGTTTTTTTTAATCCTTCCTAATATGAAGAATATGCTTTCATTTAAAAACTTGTACACATGAATTTAATGTTTTTTGAAACAGAATTAATAGAAACTTAAGAAAAGCACTTTCAACTACAGAACAAGACTTAGAAATGTCAAAGTCTACTTAAACAACTTAAAGCAAAATTCTGTAAAAGATATAAAGTAATCAATTCTGGATAACGATGACATTTTTTCATAATTCTGCACCTTGGAAACAGATTATATAAATATAAAATAATTTTAAAAGCATCTAGCTAAAAACAATACTCTACAGAGAAGCTAGGCATTTTTACAATTACAATATTTTTAATACATATTTATTATGTTTTATCAATAGGAATAAAATACAAAACAGGAAAAAAACAGGAAGAAACATACATCCAATAGTAACAACAAAAAGAAAAAGAAAAAAATTGTGTACAAAAAAAGAAAAAAAAGAAAATAAATGACCCAAATATCCAGCACTAAACATAAACATGCTGATTTTTTTAAAAAAAAAACCTGATAAATTCTCCTTCTCTTACAATAATGGGTCTATTAATAGTGATAAACTTTCTCATCCTTATTTAACAACAAAAATATATTATATAAACAAATATTTCACATGAGGTCTCTATTTAATAATCGAATCAACCCAGGACTTCTGGTTCTGCGTTGCAGCGAGATGGGATGCAGGAAGGCAGAGCTCTGCCTTCCACACCCAATTTCGCTTTGCTGGGGGCCCTTAAAAGGGCCTAAAGTTGCCCCAAAGAGGCGATGAAGGAGGAGGGATGTCGATCACGGAGAGATGGTGGTCTCACCGTTCAATCCAAGGAAAGCCCTCTAAATCGGCAGGGGAAAGACCGGCCACACCTCTGCAGCCGGCCATTAGCTGCTGACAACCGAAGAACAAAAGCCTTAATTAGCATACCGTAAATAGCATGTTTGGACTGGGTGAGAATATAGATCATTTGTTTACTATTTTACAACTGAATCTCCTGGGAAAGGCTCCCAAGAAGCTTAAAACCTCCGGATGTGAATACAAAAACCAGAAGGACAACATTATTTCATGTATTCCATCTTCAAAAAAGAGGGGGGAAAACAGACCGAGGAAACAGACCAATCAGCCTAACATCAATACCTGGGAAGATCTTGGAAAAGATAATCAAACAACAGATCTGCGAACAACTAGAAGCAAAGTTATAACCAATAGACAGCACGGGTTTGTCAAAAACAGACCATGCCAAACCATTCTTATTTCATTCTTTGATAAAGTGACCAAATTAGTAGACCAGCAAAACACTGTGGACATAGTATACTTAGACTTCAGTAAGGCATTTGACAAAGTAGACCACAACCTGCTGCTTAGTAAGCTAGAAAAAAGTGGGATAGACAACAACATCATCAAATGGATCTGTAGCTGGCTGACAAACTGTATTCAGTGAGTAGTCCTCTAGGTACTATATCCACATTGAGAGAAGTAAGCAGTGGGGTATCACAAGGCTCCGTCTTAGGCCCAGTACTCTTCAATATCTTCATTAA